AACTCTCGCGCACACACACACACACACACACACACACACACACACACACACACACACAGCAATCCTAATGTAATTCATTAGTGGTGTGTAATGGATTACAGACTTAATGAAGGATGATTCAGCCATACCACTGGAGTGGATCAACAACATGCACACACCTGAACACAAATCTATGCTGACATGCGTGAGTGTGTGAAAGAATGACAAGACTGAATGTTACTGCAAGACAATAGCGGTCATAATGTGATAGACACGATTAGCAATGTCATCATATTATGTAATATCAAGTATCTTCTACTCCAGGTGTGAAATCAAATCAATGCTTCATCTGGCTATGCACTGCAGAGCAACATGCAGCACGTATTGCATGGTCTTAGCTCACACAGAATGGCTGGTAGGCAAATGAATGTTTTAACATGTCAAGACCCGCCTGTACCCAGAGAGACCAGAGCATCATTAAGTGTGGTAGTGTGGTAGGGTCAGAGATCACAAGGGCTACAGGTCTTAAATTGCATAAAAAAGTGTCTCATTACTTGTATATGTTTGAGTTTTGTGAACAGAAAAGATATAAATACACATGAACAGAGTTCCCAAACAGAGAGATCAATGTGAGTGTTTCAGCTGTCAGTTCTGCTAAAATCACTTGCATCATCCTGACCTACAAAATACAAAAACCTTTTCAGACCTCTTCATTTTTAAAACACTAACATGACAAGAGAGATAAACACACAAACATTTTTCTTTTATACTCTGTGAGGTAAATACGCCTCTCTGCCTTTCCAGATTCACACACATTTTCCCTCTTTCAATCGATGCCACATAACTGATAAAACCACAGAACCGTAATTCATCAAACTATGCTTTTCTGCAAAAAAGGTTTGCACAACACTAGAATGACAGGCCTTTTTGCTGCAGTAATTTGTAAATCTGACATTTTTCCATTGTCCCTCAGGCAGTCTTAACATGTCAAGACCCGCCTGTACCCAGAGAGACCAGAGCATCATTAAGTGTGGTAGTGTGGTAGGGTCAGAGATCACAAGGGCTACAGGTCTTAAATTGCATAAAAAAGTGTCTCATTACTTGTATATGTTTGAGTTTTGTGAACAGAAAAGATATAAATACACATGAACAGAGTTCCCAAACAGAGAGATCAATGTGAGTGTTTCAGCTGTCAGTTCTGCTAAAATCACTTGCATCATCCTGACCTACAAAATACAAAAACCTTTTC